AACTATGGGGAACAAAATGTGTTTCAGTCAAGTGGAAAGCTTCATCAACTTCACAAAGTTTGGATAAACACTAATTAACTGGAAAAACCATGTCCATTTTTATGTCCTTCCGTTACCGAGATAATTAATATGCACATTCTTAAACTACTTAACTATAATGACAATTTTTTTGGGGAGAATTAAAGGCACTTATATAGGTATTATATCTGTACTGTTTCACATCTTATACTAATAAAACAGTTCTTTTAGTATGAACCTGAAGTTCAAAAATCTTGTCTGAGTGTCCTTCCGTTACCGTGGAATTGCCCTACATATAAAAATACTGAAATCACCAGTGCACTTTAAAAGAACATGGTCTGAAACACAGCTACATGTAGCTCAACACCAGCCTATGATAAAATACAAAATGTTTCCAGCCTGTGTTTTCAGCCTTAACTAATCTGCAACAAGAGGGGGCGCTATTTCAGAAACTACAATGGACACTTCTGGTAACTTACCCTGAAAAAAACATGTAATCATGCAGTACCTCTGGATTTATATATTTATTTATTAGGTGGTCTGTCAATGACAGATCACCTATTGTTTTCGTCAGAATTTTCTTTCTTTAATTATTTAGGTGGTCTGTCAATGACAGATCACCTATTGTTTTCGTCAGAATTTTCTTTCTTTATTTATTATTATTATTATTTATTTTTATTTATTTCTTCACACTTTTTTGTTCACAGGATAACTCAAGATCGGTTCAATCAATTTCCTTCAATTTTGGCACAGTCATAGGTCATTGTCATGAGACGTGACAGTAACATTTTCAAGGTCATCAAATCTTCATGATGTCATCCAGGCGCCATTTTGTGTTTTTTTTTGGTAATTTTTACTCATGATCATATCTTCATAACGGAAAAACATTTCTCATTCATATTTATTATGCTTAAGGTCAATATCCGTCAAATATCAGGTCAAAAAACGCGCGCGCATGCGTACGTCCGCGCGTCAGCGCGCGCGCAAAAAATAAAAATGCTCCAAATCGTTTTAAATTAATTTTGCATACGTTTCAGGCCATTTTAAGCATTTTGCAAAAAAACGCGCACACGCGCATGCGCGCGCGTTTTCGCGCATACTGGTATTTTCCAACATAGAATCGCCAATTTTTCTCTGTCATCATACTTGGCACATTTTTTCAGGCATTTTGATACCTTGTTCACCTTTTTCTGACCATTAATAACAGAATGAGCGTCCGTTTAAGATAATTTTCGTGTGTGCGAGCTCTTGTAATACATAGCATACATGGGCAAAAAAACATGCCTATACAAAATCCATTGTAGCGCTTTAGGATGGAAGGTGAACCCAATTTTTTTTCCATATTTTGATAGAGTATTTATTGGAGATATGATTTCATGTCTCGTTTGACCCTCAATTAACTCATGACGTCATCATAATGGCCTCCCAACTCAAAATTTCAATTTGCATATTATGACGTCAGCATATTTCTGGAAAATTGACTGTATCTCTGTAAATATTGATCGATTTTCTTCCAAATTTTGATATGATCTAGCTGAGACAATTTGCTACAAATGTAGTCATCACAATATTTAATTTTGACAAAGGTATCATGGCGTATTCTTGCGATTAAAGGTGGCATGTCAATTTTTCACATTTTGCGTGTATTCTCTATGGGACATGACTTTTTCTCAAAACTGGATTCTACATCCTGTCTTTTGCGAGCAATATCTCCGTCGTTTTAGCTTTGTTTTCGCTGAGCTTTGAGTATGTTGTAGCTGAGACAATGAGCTATCATAAGTGTGCCCTTTATTTTTCGATCAGATACCGGGATCATGCTTATATTTCACTTGCAATATGGGATTTTAGAATTCCATTTTCCGTTTACGTGTAATCTCTATGGGAAATGTTTTGGTATATCGGTAACGCACTTGACTTCAAACCTCGGGTACTCTGGTTCGAGTCGCTCGTCTCCAACAATTTTTTTCTTCACTTTTTTTTCTTTTTGACCTTTCACTGTACCATCTCTTTCGATTATTAAATCACGTAGAATCGCAAATAATGTAATAAACAACCCTATTTACGTTATTATTACCCTGTTTTCACTTGATCCATTACTTTTTGCGTGTAATCCCTATGGAAGATTACTTTTTCTCAAATCTGGATTCTACATTCCTGTCTTTTGCGAGCAATATCACCGTCATTTCTGCTTGGATTTTGTTGATTTACGAGTATGTTGTATCTGAGACTATATGCTATCTTAATCATCGCTCATTTGTTCACTAAGATGTCAGAATCACGCTCATGATCATGATCATCATCATTATCATAATGATGATAATCATCCTCATCAACATCATCATAATCATGATTATCATCATCATTTTCATCGTCATTATCATCATCACCATCCTGACCATCATCATCATCATCATCATTATCATCAACATTATCATGATAATCATCATTATCAGTATGATCATCATCATCATCATCATCAGTCATTCATCATCATGATCATCAAGGAGTTAATTTCCCAATAATTTGTTTTATATGTACATCATTTCTTGTTTCATTAAATTTAATTATGATCATGATTTTGATCATAATCATTTCTCGATATTTTGTTCATCAATTAATTTATCACTTCAGTTCAGGTCACAGTTTATCAGTTAAGCTCATCAATTCAGTTCATTTGACATCAGTTCAATCTATCAGTTCATCAGTTCATCAGTACTTCATTCATCAATTCATATCTTAAAACATCATTTTACATTGACATCGTTATATTGAATAATTGTATTGAAGATGAGCATGATCATTAGAATTGAAGGAAGACCACCTAATTCGTCCTCATGACGAATTAAATTTCTAGTTTATTTGTTGGGGTTGTTCTGATTGAATTTTACACTAAATTATACAAGATGCAAAGTGACATCCAGACTGTCAAGGTCAAAGATTTTTTTTTTTTTTTGGGGGGGGGGGGGGAGGGGAGAATCTATTGTGTCTTGTATCATACCACAATAACATTCCACACACAAACATAATTCCCATCCCTATTAACACCACTACCACACCCCCTCCCCTCTTTTCTTCTCTTTCCCTCACTCTACTAGCCCCCTCCCCCCCCCCCCCCCCCCCCCCCCCCTCTCTCTCTCTCTATCTCTCTCCCTCCCTCTCTCACTCACACTCTCCTCCCTCTCTCTCTCTCTCTCTATCTATATGTACATGTTCTAAATCTCTCCTACTTTTCTCTACTCCTTTCACTATCTCACACTTTCTAATTACATATATCTCTGTATATTTGTATCTGTCTCTCTCTCTCTCTCTCTTTCTCTGATACCCAAAAGGTCTTTTTCCTCATCAGCTTGGTCAACAGCGAAAGTATGGGGTACAATCCTCATCATGAATTCATCACTATGAACATGACTGACAAAGAAAGCGGACAAAATATACAGTTCCTCAGGTAGACAAAGGAACATCCCTTCACTGCTATTATGTAAAAAGGTGAATATGCATGTGACACCTGTTCTACACATTTTTACATAATAGCAGTGAAGGGATGTTCCTTTGTCTACCCGAGGAACTGTATATTTTGTCCGCTTTCTTTGTCAGTCATATTCATGGTGCATATGGATTAATGTGTACCCAAGGATCAACAGGAACAATTGACACATTATATTGCTGTTTCTTAACACAAACCAGGTGATACTTGTACTTGCACTCCAGGGGGGGTGTTTCATAAAGCTGTTCGTAAAGTTAGGCATGACTTTACGAACGACTTGTATATGAAAAGCCAAATGGGATGCTCAATCGTTATTACTGCATCAACTAAAGTTGAACTGTGAACTGTGCAAATATAATCAACATTCTTATCATAACAATCACTTTTAATGCAAAGTATATTTTTTGCCATCATTTAATTGAGGTTATTGGAAATATCAGAAAAAACTTTGGGCATCCTATCTGGCACTTGCGCCGTTTGACCCGGGAAGCAGACAGTTTCTCGGAGGTCAACTACACCCACATGCTTGTACACAACACATGGCGTGCGCTAGCCTCCGAACCGGAAATTAACCTGGGAAGGTCCGATTTGTATGTGGGGTTCAAAACAGCTTTGCGTTTATCATCTCTCAGAAACGTGATTCTGGCTGTATGTCACATTCAAACACACCTTTTTGCGGCTTTAGATATGCCCATATCAAAAGATGTTTAAAAAAGGCTTTGCGTTTAATATCACCTTCAAAATTTGCCTGAAAGGCGTTTGAGAAACCTGATTGATTCTAGGCAAAAATTTGGTCAATAAACCTATGTCTGCATAAAGGCGTTTTGTAAGGCAGTCCCATAATGAGCTGCAATGGAGGAAGGTTGTGTTTTGTAATATAGGTTTCTATCACCTTCAAATGTGTCACTTATTGAACTTCTTTCCAATAATTTATCTAAGATGAGAGATACAATAAGTGAGCGAACAATGTTGTGAGAAAACCACTGAGCGGTTACAAGGTGGGTGTTTGACAAGAACGTGAACCGGGCTGGAGACGGACTGCTTGGCAGAGTGCTACCCCAGTAGAGCCCTGTTTTGCGATGATGATGATCCACAACACTTGTATGGTGCCATTTATCTATTTCAAACATTCAAAGGCGCCCGCTCCTCCAATATTTATGGACTACACATTTGCTTGAAAAGATGGGTTTTGAGGCCTGCTTTAAAGCTTTCTAGCTTGTCGGTGTTGCAAAGAACAGGAGGGAGTTCTAGAGGCATGGAGCAACTGAATAGAGGGCATGATTAACGTACAACCGAAGAAGAAGTAGTCCTGACGAGCGTAAACCCAGATGGGACTGATGTTTTTCTACCAGGGAAGCCACATATCCTGGGGCCTGATCTTGGACAGACTTAAATTTCAACAGTAAGATCTTAAACTTTATCCTGTACTTTTTTGTTGCTGCGACATTAATTACTTTCCAGTTTGTCAAACCCATGAAAACAAATGCAAGCTGCTTACCTGTGTGCCTACTTGACCAAGAATGGGTTGTGAACTGAGATGTAGGCTTGATGCAAGGCTTTGAAGTAAATTATCTTTGGTTAGACCTGGACCAACACCTGGAGAAAATGGATAATGGAGAGACAAATCATTATCAAAAGCATAAATGATCTTTTCGTCACCTAAAGACAATTCTCACATCTTGCTTCTGTCACATAATCAGGGCTGAATAAGAGATTCTGTCCTCAAAATAATCTTTAGACTTAAGGTTCATTCACTTTCAAGCAAATGGTCAAATTTCTTTTGTTGCAGAATCAATAATTGCAAAATATAATCATGAGTGATACACTTGGCACCCTGCATTGAGCCCCAAACATGTTTCATTTTTCATAGAATATTACAGAACCTACATGTATGGTTGTGAGATTTCATGTGCATCATTGTTATGGTTTAATGCTGTTCCATGCCAAATTTCATGATACATATACATGTACTTGAAAAACACTTTATTTGTGCTAGTCATAATCATGGAATAATTAAAAATGCCTTCTTCTTTTTGTGATCTACTTGGTCCACAAATACCAATACAGACCTGCCAACCTCTGGAGTTCAAAAACTGTATTCTTTAATCCCAAAAGTTGTATTTTACTGACAAAAGTTGTATTCTTGAAAAAAAAACATGGATTGTTACGTGGATCAATGCCTCTTACAGTTCCTACCTACAGGAAGAATTTTTTTTATGGATCATTGGTTGAATATGCACGATTTTGTCATGACTGGTGTGTTTGATGAACCAATGAACATACCCAAATTGCTGATGTGAGATGCTTGAAAGATACTTAACAAAACATAATGGGAATTTTGCCATTGAATATGTCACAAACACAAAATATAAATTTTTTTTAAAAAATTTAAAAAAAAAATTTTAAATCGTATTTTATTAAGGAAAATCGTAGTCGTATTTGCTTCTAAAAATCGTACTAAATACGACTAAATCGTACTGGTTGGCAGGTCTGCCAACAGAATTCCAGTTTCCTCCAAGCTTTGGAAGCTACGAGAGGACTACACAAGTTTGGGTTATCTGTCAGACACACGTTTCCCATGAAACTTGCACAGAAACCACTACTTGTAAAGACTACTTCGGAAATAGCGCGGCACTTGATCCCTAAATATCTACAGATCTTTGAAACATGGAAAAATCCCACTTCAGTGCATATTAGAATAATCACTGCCAAATTGATGGAGGTATTAAATTCATGAATACGTTCTGTTTGCCCTCTCGAAAAGAATACTTCCACCTGTGGATCATAGAATGTACCGTTGGTAAATAAATGAATATTAATAACGAAACTTTCATGAACACATATCTAGCATTTGTTTCAATAGGTTTTACAGTTTTGTACCAATAACCTTTTTCTGCTCATACACAGATCATATTTTCGAAGAGGCCAGAGATCCTTTCAAGTTTCCATCATGGAAAAATTTTGTTTTTTTAATCAATTAAACATATATCTCATTTTATCTGAAGAATATCCTAAATTAAATTAAATTCTTACTTATTAATCCATCCGGGAGCTCCATTGATTTCAGTATTTCTTCTGTCATGTCACAGGCATTTAGACCCTGTAGCCGCTTCTCCCAGAAGAGCTACAGATAGGGAAAAGGAAAAACATTGATTTAAGATTTATCGTAACAGAAAAATTGATTAACTAATTAATACATTTTTGAACCCATGTCACATGTACTGCATATTAAGCAGAAATTAGTAATATGTTCATACACGACAAACAGGAGAGATGTCCAATGTCCATGTATTTGTCACACTCTACAAACAAAATTGCCAATTTGAAATTTGCATAGCTTTAGTGATCTCATTTTTCAGACATCCACACCTCTCTTATAATTGGTCCATTTTATTTCAAACTTTTGCCATTTTGTATCTCTCATTTTTCTGCTTTCATACAAATTAACTAATAATCAAAATTAAACTTTTTGTTGTTGAATGTACCAAGAACCAAACTCATGTATTGGTGGAGACGATTCAATTACTGCAACTTTACAGTCTCAAAAATTAAGAGTTCTTGATTTTCAAAAGCAAATGTAAATTTTCGGGTATGCTTAATTATGACATAGGATTCTGACTTCCAGGAAAGCGTCAAATCATGACATTGCAAATGTCATTTATTATTTACTTTGTCTGCTCATATCAATTCTGGCTTGTTAAATATAGTGTATTCAACATAATCAGGAAATAGCCTGCCTGAGAAGCTTATCGAATTTCCAGGCAAGGTGACCAACCTGTTTGGGAGTTTCCTTTGTGTCTTGCTTTGGATCTGCTTTGGTCCTGTTCTTGATGTGGTTGGTCTTGAGCGTGACCGGTTGCTTAAAGATGGATGCCGTCTGTCTGATGGGCAGGACCAGACTCGCGTCATGCTTGGTCCCTCGGCTGTAGTCAAAGTGAATGTTCTTGAGTCTCTTACTCTTTCTCACACCAGATGATAGCAGCTTCCCCGTTCGGAAGTCAAACGCGCTCAGGTCGATTGCATCGCCGATGAATCTGGCCAGCTGAGGCTTGCTGCGGAGCTTCTTCCCACATGGGCTGAAAGGGCGATAGTGGAAATTATTCAAATTAGGTAGGCTTTTTATGGTATGGTATGGTACATGTATGGTATGGTATTTATAGATTTCATTCCATGCAAAAGATGTCAAGTTTACTTTCAACAAGTTTTCTATATTTTTTTTTCTTCCCCATTCTCTGTCTTGTTTAAATTGTTCAACATACAGATTGGTGTATTTTGTCACTTCATGGAAAATCTTTAAACTTGAAATACAGGTGATACAAATTACAACAGTTATGTATTTCTATTTTGTTTTTTGTCTTTTGTTAGTTGTTACCCTCTCTTGCTGATAGGCCTACTGTTCATCACACACATTTCTCTCACTTCATGGAAACTTTTAAACTTGAAATTCACTGCTGCGAGTACGCGATGGTGCATGTGGGCATTTCAATGTGGCCATCGCAATGGGTTGTATCAGGTATGAAGAAGAAGAATACCAAAGATTTTGTGGAACAGTGGAAGGATACGGTATTGGTAAAGACTAAAGAAAGAAAGAATGTAATAAGTTTGCTCTGAATTATGAGGAGGAATGCGCAGAACAGGAAGAAATGGAGAGAATGTCATCACAGGATGCAAGCAGGGGCATCGCTAAAGGGGGATGTGAGGGGGGATGCAAAGAAACATTTTTGAAAAATCAGACAATGATTAAGAGTCGAAAGCAGTACAACGAATCGTTTTCTTTCTCTAATAATTTAATGAAACGTCAAAGCTTCCGCGCTACGCGCAAGAGGGAGAAACTGAATTCAGACAAGGATTAAGAGTCGAAACAGTACAACGATTAGTCTTCTTTCTCTAATTTAATGAAACGTCAAAGCTACGCAAGGGAGGGGGGAAACTGAACTCAGAAAAGGATTAAGAGTCTTATTAAGAGTCGAAAACAGTAAAAACGTCAAAGCTTCCGAGCTTCGCGAGGGAGGGGGGAAACTAAATTCAGACAAGGATTAAGAGTTGAAAACAGTACAACAAATTGTCTTCTTTCTCTAATTGAATGAAACATCAAAGCTACGCAAGGGAGGGGGGGGGAGAAACTGAATTCAGACAAGGATTAATACGAGTCAAAAACAGTACAACAAATTGTCTTCTTTCTCTAATAATTTAATGAAACGTCAATGCGCGGGAGGGGGAAACAGAATTTAAACAAGGATTAACAGTCGAAAACAGTACAATAAATCATCTTCTTAACTTCTTTCTCTAGTCTAATATTAATAATTTAATGAAACGTCAAATCAAAGCTCCCGCGTTAGCTTTGCGCGTGAGGCCGAGGGGGGAAACTGAATTCAGACAAGGATTAAGAATAATAATTTAATGAAATGTCAAAGCTTCCATGCTTTACGCGAGTGGGGGAAACAGAATCTAGACTAGGATTAAGAGTAGAGAACATATCATATGAAGGAGCTAGTCTACATGTAAATGTAATACTGTTTACTCGAGTGCTAGTGCGCGCGAAGCGCAACAGTGCCGACAACATCATCACACTACACATGCACACGCTATTCGATTAACGTGGGACTATGACAAATTGCATTTAATACAAAGACCACACCGGTCGCTGATGATTCAATTGAGATAAAATCACTGATATTAGTATGCTCACCTATAGTAATATACATCAGTCTTTCCAGCAGACAGTCCAGATTTTCTTATTACTTCTTCTCTCTTCCAGCCGGCTGGTAACCCCGGACAATCTTGCAGTCCTTTGGTGTCTATTCTCTCTTCGCAATCCATATTTTCCGGTAGATCCATTGGTACCATAGTTGTGCTATCTTACACTTCCCGTAGATGGCGCTGTCTTTTTAAATTGTTAATTTTTGTTATGGCAATATTATCTTTTCTGTTTTTTTCTTTTTATCTCTTGAGTTGTTTCTGTTATTCGTGTTTTTTTTCTTCTTGACAATATTATTGATATTTGGGAGCAAACATATGCTACATTCTAAATTGTTATTTTTTGTTATGGCAATATTATCTTTTCTGTTTTTTTCTTTTTATCTCTTGAGTTGTTTCTGTTATTCTTTTTTTTTCTTCTTGACAATATTAATTGATATTTGGGAGCAAACATAATGCTACATGTTAAAGAGAGAGAGAGAGGGAAAGAGAGATAGAGAGGGGGAATTAAGAGATAGAGAGAGAGAGAGAGAGAGAGAGAGAGAGAGAGAGAGGATTAAAAATGGGGGGGGGGGGGGTAGATGCATTAGCCATTACAAGTATCTGACTCTGAGGTAATATGTCGCTTATGTACATGATATGGAGGAATAAAACGAAGAAGAAAAAGAGATTGCCCAAAGAATGTTTTTTCATCATTTATTATCAAAATAAATATGAATATGAATATAAAATTACTTGTAAACATGCATGATCCAGCTTCGACTCCTTTAATGTAAAATTGTTTGTGCGAACATGTTTTCACTTGGTAACATTGTTCCGATGAGAGAAAATGATGCTTAAAGCTAGTGACTTCAATGGTAGACGTACAATTTAAGATAATCTGAACGTTTGAGTGAAAACAGAATATTATTAATGATACTATACATTATTAATGATACAAAAACTTATCTGATCGATAACTTAATTCTTCCAACTATATTATTAAAGTTTAATTACATTTTAGATGAATGAAAATCGTCACAAAGCAATTAATTTGCATTGTATACTATTCCAGACATTTATGTGTTGAATTTTTTTTAAAATCCGGTTTTATGTCTTATTTTCATTGAAAAACGGTTGAGAAAATTCAAAAATGGTTGGGAGAATTTACTGTTAATCACTGTTAGAGGGTGTTGCACAATGACGCCTTCAAAGAAAACCATAAATATCTTTGTGGTTTGAGAATTTCTCAGGATTTTTTTACCTGTTAGAGGGTAAGTGCAGTATAGAAGGAATATAATATGTAACATCAACCTTCAACAATGTTCCCGAGTCACTTTGATAAACCATTATTTTTGTTTGATTGATACTTTATTTGCACAATTTCAAACTACAATTAGAGTGATACTGCATAAGCACTACGACTGCAGAATAATGTTTGCTTACTTAAAAAATAACATATCCGTCAAAAGTCGATGACATTGATGGTGTTGATTTTACATTGGCCTAGGTAAATGGGTATACACTAGGTGATACATTGTGATAATAACAATAATGGTAATAATAATAATGATAATAACAATAATAATAATAATTTTTGCATGGACTCTAGATGACATCTCAACAATTAAAGGGTGGGTGGAAAAGAAGAAGATGCTGAGTCTTATGTCGTTCAGACCGAGTAGGGTAGAGTTGAATAGAAGAAATAATTATTTATTTATTTATTTCTCATATTTATACAGAGTGGCACATAATGATGAAGAATTAGAGGAGGAAGAAGAAGAGAATGAGGAGGAGGAGGAGGAGAAGGTGAAGGATGGGGAGGAGGAGGGGGAAGAGGAGGGAGAGGAGGAAGAAGATATTAATTGAAATGAATGTCATAAAAATTGAACTTGACGAATGCAAATTAAAAGTGATTTTCTTTTCGGAGTATGAGAACGCTACCATCGTCATTTCAGTGATCATGTCGATGATAGTGATGTCGAGAAGGCGTCAAGTCTGGTGTCGATGAGGCCGACGAAAAACTTCTGTTTAGCTTCAATATTACCAGTTGTATTCCTTTGTCAGCATTCCCTGTTAATATTTTTTTTTACTCCTTGGTCTCAACCCTATATACCCTTCCCTCTCCCCATCTTTCTCATCTCTTCTCTTTCTCTCGTTTCTCTACTTTAATTCATCTAAATTTACATCTCTATTTCTCATCCCTTTCTCTCGTTCTCTCTCTCTCCCTCTTATTCCCCCCATTTTCATCTCCCTCATACCCATTATTCACTTCTGTACTTCAAACTACCATAACCTTGCTCATTACTTATAGGGACATACGCGAGAAAGGGTAGAACGAAGACAGAAAGAATGGTTAAAAGAGAGAAGAGATAGCGGAAAGGATAAGGAAAGAGAGAAAAAAGACACGAGAGAGAGAGAGAGAGAGAGAGAGAGAGAGAGAGAGAGAGAGAGAGAGAGAGAGTGCATATTATAATATTTAAGGTATAAAAAAGACATCCCCTAAAACGTTATATGAACTCATAAAGCAACATTAGTATACCTATTTCCACACCTTACACACGAAGAATGATAAGGCACTAAAACAATATATGTTCCTTTTAGAAGAAAAAATATTTATCGAAATAACAGAAATTCATAATTATCGTATAATTGTATAATTATTTTTAAAACAAAATAAAGATTCATACTCTGGAATGTACTGCATGAAATGAATGGGTAGACAGTTTGAGATAATCATTTCAAAGTACTCATAAACTTGTGCTTTCATATTAAAATCGTTAACAACCTCGTAAAATTATAAATGATAAGAATATTGACTTTAGCCCTGACTTCACAAAAAAATCAATCAATATAAGAAATTAACGAGGAAGTTTTAAAAAACCAATCACTAAGCAATTTATGCAATGTGACATTTCTCTTTAATACATCTGTTTCCAATATTAGATATTGAATAATCTGACGGTTCGTGTTAGTCTATATTGACATTACAAATTGAGATCAAAGGACTGAAATCGATCCACCTCAGCATGCAATACAAACAATAAAGGGATAGAAATGAGATTTGAATGATACTTGCACGTGTGTGGCAGAAATCAACTGAGAACCGAATTAATTAGACCGTCTACGGAATGTTGAGTGTAATTTCTGTGTCTTTTTGTTTTAGATATAGTTTCACTTTCGAAAATACAATTATTCTCTCAAAATGATTGTCTCTCGATCAATAATCATGATATTTTATGATACGTGTCATATCAACCAATCTTTCTTCTCCCCCTCCTCTCTCTCTCTCTCTCTCTCTCCCTCTCTCTCTCTCTCTCTCTCTCCCACCCCTCTCTCTCTCTCTCTATCTTTCTCTCTCTCCAAGCAGAACATGTCTGTATCATGTTACGATGCACACACACAAAAATTGATGCCCCATAGAATAATTAATGTGCTGTCTCCATACAATCAACATGATTAAGCACGGTATTGTAGTTTCATAATTTTTCGATTAAAACGAAGGACTCGGCCTTGGTCAGCCTATTGTATTTTAATCCATAACGCTCATGAAATTCATTAGAGTTATTGGGTACACAGAAAAGAGACAACCAGAAAGGAATTCCCCTTTGTCCCGCCTTTTTGTTAAACCATAATCATGACAATGCAAGCCCGAGTGGTGAAATTAATATTATGTGGTTCATTTTTCGTGCGAAAATTGTAACGTTATAGATCACCTCAAAATGTTATTAAAATTGTTGTTAGAAACGGTCACGCATGCTCTGCACACCAGGCAATTAACATTATTAAAACTGCATCTCCACGAATGCCAGTTTTGTTGATAATCTATGATGATCTTTTGTTAATAGCCTATGATGATTTTTTGTTGTGGATAATCTATGATTATCGTTTCACACGCAATGGAGGACATGGCAACTTTCGTTTTACTCCATGATTATTGTTGTAACTTTCTCTGTACGAGTTCAAACTTGACAATTGTATTTACGATGGATTTCAAGTGAATCAAATAATATAAAACAATTAAGAGTATAAATCCATATCACTAGCATAGTGTTTAACACTACAAGTCACTCTTTTCTATTCAATAGACATAATAGTTTTGTATACTGTAGATTGTCCAGTATGGTCTTAACATAAATGCACGTTATTTTATTATATAATTTTTTTTCTGGATTACATTGCAATGTAATCTTCATAACTATACAATACGGTAATTGATTCAACCTGATTATCTTAAAGAAATTTAAAAGCAGACTGGAAAATTTTTTTATTGCATCTGCCATAAGTATACACCCTGCTGCATGCACTAATATTATACCCTTAAACCGGTAAATACGGCATTTCCATCTATTAACTATTATGGTACGGTTCCGTGTCTTTTTGAATTAATATCCGATCAAAAGATATAAACGGGTCGAAGTATAGGTTGGACTCTTAGGTTCGAATTATAGTAATTCATTTGACGAGATTCAATATTATTGTTTATTTCCCTCTATATCCGACTTCACAAAATAGAGGACTGGGTGTATACATCATAATCCTATATTGGCCCCAAGATTCAGGAGGTACTGAACAATAGTCTAGGGGTGCTAAAACAAATTATCTCTCAGGCTCTGCCTCCAAATATTGTCATTGTTTTTCTGAGCCATAGCCAGCGTGACGACATCGCCAAGATCTTGTTTGGTCGAAGCCCGTCTCAGATACCTGACTTTCCTCATCTCTCGCCACCATTTCTCGATTCTCCTGGCGTGATCCTCCTCCGTCTCGTGCTCCTTACGCTTCAATTGATCAGCTGGTATATCCATCTTCATCCTCTCCCTCATACGATCGTTCTTTCGACGTCGTATCTCTTTGCGGAGGTCGTTGATGTCGGCACCCTGGGAAGCGGCGTTCATCAGTTCCGCCTGTGTCAAAGACGTCAGCGTGGCTTTCCTCTTTGTGGTGGGAGGGAGAAAGACGTGACCTCTCTGAGCGAAATCCTGGTCGCGTTTGACCATTTCGTCAATGTCCGACATCAGCTCGTCCTTGCGACGCTGAAGATGCATCAGCTGTAAACCGTTTTCGATGACCATGAGATTTCGCGTATCGGTTCGTGTTCGTTCCGTCTTGATAGCGTCCATTGCGTCACGGAACACACTATCACTACCAGGGGACATGGACGATGGCGTCAGACCGCGATCCGAGCTGCCGACGCTTCGGGC